TTATCATGGTATGCCACAGTCAACCTTAATAAAAGATACCAGAAGGAACTTACTGTTAGTCATCTTTATTATTTGCATACGTTTTAAATGCCCAAAGAAAAGCAAAATCCAGACCTAGGGACTCAAATGAGCAATGAGCAGTACAAAGATGCTCTGTGTTCCAGTCAGTACCTGTGTTTTGCATCCCATCCAGACTTGTCCTCAGGCCACCTAGGACAAGCACATGGTTTCTTCTTTTTTAGGAATAAAATATTTAATCTGGCTTCTATCCCACTGCTGCACAGTTTTTAAACCCTGCAACTGGTCTGGACAAATTAAAGAGAATGGATGTGGGGGCTCAAGATCCAATGTTCTCTCCTAAATAATACAGTCTTGTGCATTATCTAGTTTAAGTGGATGGATTAGAGTATAAACTGATTTTATCTGTTCCATAAGACAAACTGTATTTCATTAAAGGACCCAAACACAACATGTTCCTTGTTTGAATTTATCAGGAATAGAATAAAATGCTGATGGCTATTTATTTTTTAGTCATTGCAATGTTTTGGACTTGATTTGGACTTTACTTATTAGCAGCTGTCAGTGCATTTAACTGAAATAAACTGACAAAGGAAGCCCAACTAAGCTTTCTTGTTCGAGAAATCTTATTATTTAAGTGACTTGTTTAAGTGCAAGTTTCCATTTTATCAACTGCTAGAGGAGACATTTTCATACATCAGTGGTGCTAAACGTCAGTCATAAGTTAAAAGTCAACATACTGTATGCACTTCTAGCCACCTATAGGCTTTTCTTACAAAGCCACTTTTTTGTCATGTATGTCTGAAAATGTTTTGAATTTGTCCTTGTTTTGATTGTTTCTTATTATTAGTTCAGTTTTTCCATCCAGACACGGCATGAATAATTAGCTCTATCTGTGAATACAAGTATAGCTATTTCACAGGGGAATAGGAAATAAATATTTTTTTATTTGCCAACAATATGATCATTTTGAATCCCAAAGTAATGAAAGTACAGCAACTATTAGACTAACAGTAACAATCATCTGGATCACATTACAAATGTGCTTTATAGTGTTATAGCTTTACCTATTCACTTTGTTTTCTATTGCAACCATTAGGTTAGTTCATCAAAGGTTTCAAATGAGCATGAACACTTTTCAATCAACAGATAATGGGGTAATGCATATCAGCTAGATTTGAAACATGGAAGTGATCAGTCATTGTCATAAATGACTGCATTCTGTCACAATGTATTTGGCCCCAATAAGTTAATCTATTCAATCTCTTGAAACGAGTGTGTGCATCTAGCAGATGTTCTCCATACTGTACATCTCCACAATAACACTAAGTATAATTTTAACATTAATCTTTAATGGATGCCACACTGAAACTCAGCCCTAAAATACAGTTGATATGTACACACTGCACAAGTGGCAGACATTGGGATCCTTTGGAGAGTTGTAAGAACAGAGGAATTGGCAACATAGTATTCAAATATTGAATCTGGTCTTCAAGCAGAAAAATTCAGCCCTTGCCACCAATTACTGACTAGACAAAATATGTTCAGAACTTAATATCATACAGCACCTGTGTGAAATGTTCTCAGCAGTGCAGATGATTTTTAGGTGATCCTCATTAACAGTAACTTTACACTTTTTTAGTATAGAGTTTACCCTTGTTTTCTTTGCTTAAACTACTATGTCTGACACATTAGCCAATAAATTTAGCTTTCTAAGATTAAAGAGGCCAAAAGAAAATAGTACATGTTTTGTTCTGTAATATTATGTTATGTAGTATACAGTTTACTTTAGTTATTCACGTGTGTGTGAATATGGATAGTAATTGTATACTTTACTTGTTTGCAGTGATCACTCTCTCTGGGGTTAATCTAATCTTTGCACAGTTTTATAGTTTGCCTGACAACTTTCCAAGACTACTGGAGCATTTTGTCTCCAAAAGTGCCAAGAAAGTGTCTCTTTCAATAAATGTCTGTTGCAGAGTTTGAATTGTTTGGGCTGAGAAAAATATCAAAGTTTTCCCTTGGTCTTAAAGCATCAGTGGCAAATATGTAACAATTATGAGTATGTTCCTACATACCAAGTGGGATACATATCCTTTGGATGATACTGTGAAAGACTGAGTACATCTCATTTGTTAGTTGGGTTTAGTCTGTCAAAAATGAAACGAAAAAAAGGTTTTATATAATTTACATGAGAAGAAATATGTCCCTGTGAATGAGCATGTCTTAAGGTCATGTATGCAGATAAAAATTTTGCAGGTTTGCACACTTGAATTATACTGTAGGAAGGCAATAGATCAGGGATAGACAGAGGGAATGTGCTATGGTAATGACATACTGGGACCTAATGTTTCTAGGACAAGCTGGATCCATTCATTCACCATTACTGATTAAGACTGCTCAGCAAGACTGCTAGATTCACTGTATATTATGTTAGGCTATATAATTTTGAATAATTAATAGGTTTATTCCATGCTGAAAAGAGAAGCTTCTTCACGCCTGAAGAAGGCTCCATGGCCGAAATATGTTTTCTTTCTTCTATTTTTAGCATGGAACACACCTATTACTTGTTCCTTTGCAGCCTACGCATGTTGATGCAGCTACCGACCTAAACTACTGTATATAATTTTGATCCTACAGTAACTTTGAAATATTGTGCCTTATCAGATTGATTTTACAACAGTTCAATAATTGGGTTATGAGTAGCTCTGTCCCCTTTTCTATAGGTTTTTAAGGCTAGACAGTTTGTGGCTTTGCTCATAGACTAGAATCTATTACAGGAAATGGGCTTAATTACTGTCCCAAAGGTAATGTTCATTGTATAACAGGCCAAACATGCATTGATAAATATGATAGCATTTATATTCCTAAAGCAAGGACATAATACTTATGTATATACCATTATATATAAAGTATAATGCATATATACTGTACTGTATATAGTGGTATATACAGTGGTGTGAAAAAGTGTTTGCCCCCTTTCTGATTTCTTATTTTTTTGCATGTTTGTCACACTGAAATGTTTCAGATCATCAAACAAATTGAAATATTAGACAAAGATAACACAAGTAAACACAAAATGCAGTTTTTAAATGAAGGTTTTTATTATTAAGGGCAAAAAAAATCCAAACCTACATGGCCCTGTGTGAAAAAGTGATTGCCCCCCCCTGTTAATACATAAATCAACTGTGGTTTATCACATCTTTGGAAAGCTGAGTTCAATTTCTCTAGCCACACCCAGG